GCCTCCCGGGTTCAAGTGATTCTCCTGCCTCAGCCTCCCAAGTAGCTGGGACTGCAGGCATACTCCACCACGCCTGGCTAATTTTTGGGTGTACATATATTTAGTAGAAATGATGTTTCACCATATTGGACAGGCTGGTCTGGAACTCCTGACCTCATGATTTGCCCACCTCACTCTCCCAAAGTGCTGGGATTACAAGCGTGAGGCACCACACCTGGCCAGAAGCCCATCTTATGACACCCACTCTATGATAATTTAACATCAGCAGTTCACCAGGCCTGAGGTTGGCTGCCTTGGGGCCAGCAGTGTGGTTTAGGAGGAAGAGTGCTGGGCTGGGAACACAGGGACAATCTCTACACAGGCTCTGCCACCAGCTCCTCCAACCACAGTCCAGGTGGCCCTTCCCGGGTCTGCATCTTATGGAAAGGAGAAACTTTAGGGTTCCAGGGAACTCTAACAGCCTGCGGTTTTGAATCCAGCACTTCCTGAGCCCCCAGCATGGGCTACCATGTGTGCCGGGTGCTTTTCTCTGTTCATTCCACGCATTTCAACTGAGCAAATATTGGTTGCACCCTGTCCTAGGCGATGGAGCTGCAAGGGAGATCAGGACAGACTGTGACCTCCTTCATGGAATAGACAAAGTTAAATATTACAAAACTGTTTGGAGGTAGGTCTCAATGCTCCAGTGTTTGCAGATTTCAACCAGATATTTTGGGAGCGTCTCACTGTCAACAGCTGGGACAGGCAGAGCCACCAGCTGAGCCCAGGTCTGAGCGACTTGGAGAGTGGCTCACTCTCCAGGCAACCTCCCAGGTCAGGGGTGAGTCTGATGCCTTCTCACTGGGGGAATCAGCCTCTGGTGGGTGGGGGTGTGGAGGTGAGAGGTCAGAGGTGCCTGGGTAAGAAGTGACTCTGCCATCACTTCCTGTGAGCTGAGGCCTGGGATGAGGATGGGGCAATCGATGGGGAAGCGGGGAGCACCTGTGCTGTGGGGTGGGAGGGATGCGGACATGTCTGCGTTTCTGCCGTGCCTCTGGTTCCTCCTCTGGGATTGGGACTGTTTCCATCCTGCTGACCCCTTGCCACTCACACCTGGGGGGCTGCCTCTTGGGTTAGACCTTCCACCCCCTCAGTCTGTTGTTCACTGACCGTTACTGTTGTTGTAATACTGCATGATTTCCTTCAGGGTCTCCAGGAAGAATTCCTCCCTGGCCTTCTGAAATTGGCTCTGCTTCTCCCAGTCCTCCACTCCTTCCACGTGTCTCCATGGTCCCAGGGGCTCAGCCTTCCCGTCTTCACTGTCGTAGCGGAAGAAGGCCTGGTCATTGAGGAAGACAGTGCCCTGCAACCTGTGGATGCCTTTGCTCGGCCTGGACAGCCCTGTGTAGAGATAGGTCAGGGAGTAGTGACCTGCAAGAGAAAAGACTCTGAGGGCTGGGGCCATGAAAGGGTGTCCCGCTGTGGGGCTGCAGAGGCCAGGAGGGGAGGCCTGGCCGCTGCCTCTTCCTCCCACCTCTCTCCTCTGCCGTCACTTCACACCATTGGAGCCTCAGTCAAGGAAACAGCCTCTGCTTTCATGCTGGGGATGATAGTTCAGAGACCATTCTCTGTCTTCACTGCAGAGTTGAATCTGCTTGGCACAGAAGAAGACAATATTTCTCAGCCTCCTTATTGATATGTTGAAACCATGTGACTCAGTTTTGTCAAACAAGGAAGTGAGTGGAAGTGACTGATGTATTTCTTCTGGTCCACGACCCTACTGCCTCTTATCCCTTTACTTGATGACTATGGAGGCCACAGGATGAAATAGAAGAGTCCCAAGATGCAAATAACCTGGATCCCTGAGTCACCTTGGCCAATCTGCATTGAACTTGACTAAGAAACAAACATTTCTAGTCTAACCAGACAAATACACAGAGTTAGAAAGTGTAGGAAGATGAATTTACTAGAAAACTTGAGAAGTGACCCAGAATGGGTCAGCACAAGGTAAGACTAGGATTCCTCTCAAATTCCTGGCATTGCACCTTACATTTTCATGTAAGATGGAAGCTGAGAGAGGGGGACATTTCCATAATTGGTTCCATAGTTAATTTAGAATATAAATTACATGAGTGTTAGTAATGTTGGAGGTCATATGGCAGATTCCTGGTTGAAGTACTGAAGTCATTCTTGTTCACGAATTTCTTAACATGATTAGCCTTTAAATCGGGAGATTTAATCATTAGATTTAAAATCAGTAATGAGTAAAACAGATTACCCTCTATAAGGTGGGTGGGCCTCATCCAATCAGTGGAAGGCACCCAGAGAAAAGGCTGAGGTCCCACAAAGAAGAAAGAATTCTGCTCCAGACTACCCTTGGACTCAGGCCTGCAACACCAACTCTTTCCTGGGTCTCCAGCCTGCTAGCTTGCTTTGCTGATTTAGGACTTTTAGCCCCCAGAATTGTGTGAGCCATAAGAAATGTTAGATAAAACTCCTCTTTTTCTCTCTTTTGTACACACACACGTATATATTTGGTGTGTATATGAATATACAGTGTATATTGTATGTGCGTGTGTATACAATGTATATTAGTTTTGTTTCTCTGGAGAACCCCAAATAATTCAGATTTTGGTGCAGAATGGGATTAACATCCTAGCCACATCCTGAATGTGGTTATTACAAAACGAACATGAAACAGCTATTCTGACAATGTGTGTCATGAATGTTGGACTCACACAGCTGGGAAGCCATTCGCTTCCATGTATTCCTCCTGCACATTCCCATGCCACACACAGCCTCCTGCCCCGTCCTAGCAGTGACTCTTGATCTCTCCAAGCTTCCACTGCCTTCTCTTCAGGCTACTCACCTTCCACACCCACCGCTCCCGTGTCTGAGTGTGGGGTGAGGGCACGGGTTTCCTTCTAGCACCATCCCTCCAGCTGACCTGCCTTCTCACTTTCCCCTTGGGGCTGCTCTCTCTCTCCCTCAGCGTCAGGCAGGAAGCAGCTCCAGGCCTGTGCTTCCTGCTCCGTCCTGGCTGTCTCACCCCAGGCAGGTCACTTGGTCTTTGGAGTCTTTGTTTTCACTGTAAACTAAGGGTTTCAGATTCAGATTCCTGAAGGTCTTATTTAGGGTGAGGGCAGAGGCTCCCTGAATGCTCCTGGGAGTGTGTGAGCGGAGTCAGATGGCATCCTGGGGCACCCGTTCCTACCGGATGCCCGGGAGTCCCAGCTGCATCCGGCCCTTCTCCCAGCCACATGTCCTGTTCCTCACCTCCTCCCAGTCCTCTCCAGCACCCACCCCTTGCTTTCCCCACTCACCATCTTGGGTCCCCTGGGGGACAGCAGGACCCAGAAGGAGTGGCAGAGACAGCAGGATAGGCACCATTTTTACCATTGTGCCTGAGTGGAGGGCACAGGATGATCCTGGGCCCTGGGGCTCTGCCCAGGGGAGTTGAATCTACAGGCCAATGGGAGGGCCAGGACGGGCTCCTCCCCTGACAGTGAGAAAGAAGTATGCACACGCCAGGCTGGGCAGAGGTTGTGCTCAGCGAGTCTATACACAGGACATACAACTGCAGAGCTGAGACAGTTGATCTCTGGACTGAGGCTTTGTGTGTGCTTAGGGTGGAAGGCTGCCAGTGGGTGGGAGGTGTGTGTGACGGGTGGCAGATGCCCGGGATGTGTCGCCCTTCCAGTCTGACACCCTCTGGGGTCAGGACGGGGACTTGAGCGTTGTCAGACCAGCCTTCATCCATGCCTTCTACAAAAACCCTCAACATGTTCAGGACTGGACCTGGGTACACCCCAGCTGGGGTGGGACCCTCGCTGTCCCACATCCGTCCCTGCCAGAGCTGACTGGAGGACGTTCACATCCACATCTCTCCCTCCTTCCTTTCTGTGCCTGTGGAATCCCAGCCTTCCATGATGGAAGCAGAAATAGCACATCCTCCTTTTGCAGCCTCCCTGGCAACAGAACGAGCAGGTGTGCGCGGGCTTTATGCTCAGCAAGCCGAAGCCACCACCTTGGGCATCGGGTCAAGTGTCAGGAGAACAAAGAGGCGGGCACGGTGGACCATGCTTTCTGGTGGTCTCGGCAGGGGCTGCGGCCGCCAGCTCCCGGGAGCAGTGGGGCTGCAGCAGCTGCGGGGGCGTCTGAGCTCCCGTCCCTGGGGACGGTGTTGATCTCGGGCTGTGGCCTCTGCTGCCGCCTGCTGGCAGCTTCTGTGTGTTTACCGGGCCGGTTGCTGCTGTGATTTGGACAGTTCTGCTCCTGTGGAACTCTGAGCCTGGGTTCTCATCCTTTCTGTGGATTCTGAGAGCTAACCAATAAATACGTTTATTTTCTGCTTAAGGTCAGAACTGCACTACGTTTCTAGTAGCGAATGCTCCTGGCGGATACAGAGATTGGTACAAGGATTCTTTCCAGGCAATAGTTGCTCAGGGAAATGGAGGGCTGGGAAGCTGAGGTTGGTTACGTGGCCAGATTGGGGCTGAACGCAGTGATAACCAGGGGTCTGGGGGATTCCGGCAGGCCTGCTGTGCAGGGATAAACAGTTGGCTGAGAGTATCTGTTGTGGTAGATTGGAAGTGTTCATTGAAGGTGTTTACTGAAAAAAAAAAAAGTCACAAAATGGATTAATTTAAAAGGAGCGCTTGCGTCAGGCTTAGTGGCTCACACCTGTAATCCTAGCACTTTGGGAAGCCGAGGTGGAGGATCTCTTGAGGCCAGGAACTCTAGACAAGGCTGGGCATCACAGCAAGACCCCACCCCTACAAAAAAAAAATTAGCCAGGCCTGGTGACGTGTGCCTGTAGTTGCAGTTTTGCAGGAGGCTGAGGCAGGAGAATCACTGGAACCCAGCTGCGAGGGCGCCATTGCATTGCAGCATGGGTGTCAGAGTGACACTGCCTTATTTATATTTTTTTTTTTGTGAGGGAGTCTTGCTCTGTTGCCCAGGCTGGAGTGCAGTGGTGCTATCTCGGCTCACTGCAACTTCGGCCTCCCAGGTTCAAGCAATTCTCCTGCCTCAACCTCCTGAGTAGCTGGGATTACAGGTGCCCACCATCATGCCTGGCTAATTTTTGTATTTTTAGTAGCGACGGGATTTCACCGTGTTGGCCAGGCTGGTCTTGAACTCCTGGGCTCAAGCAATCCTCCTGCTTCAGCCTTCCCAAGGTGCTGGGACTACAACATGAGCCACCATGCCTGGCAGAACTCCACTTTCTGCACGTCCTCGGGAAACCAGTCAAAACCAGTCTGAAGATGGTAGTCATTGATCAAGAGGAAACTCTTTGTGGACCAGCCTGTCATGTTGGAACCGTGGAAATAGGAGAAGGGCACTGCATGTTTGGATGAAGTAAGCAAAAGGGTCTTCGGGCCTTTCATTCTCTCAAGCTTGCTTTTGAGAAAATCCAGTAATGATTAGTAAGGGAAAGGGATGAAGTCTAATGGGGCATGATTCCGAGAGCAGCTTGGCCATAGAGACCCCACCCAGGCGGCGCTGAGGGAATTAAGAAGCAGACTTCCAGATAGAACAGCAAAGTGGAATTATCTGGGTGTCAATAGCCTTCTGAGCTGAGGGCCGCAGGGAGCTGACAGCATTCCGGGCTAAGGGCATTGAAGAGACTTTGACCCACGTGTGTATTCTCTCTGAATAGGTGATTATTAACACACAGGTGTTCTGTGTTTTCTCATAGAACAAAAATAAACTAGGCAGGCAGCTGGTGCCTGCTTACCACTCATCAAAGACAAACTAGAAAGCATTCTCCACGAGGGAGCCACAGGGGCAGGGTCACATAACCCGTGCTTAAAGAACTAGTTTAACGGGCGTGTGATATACACGTAATGTTTACTATTTTAGAACTCCCTGAGCAGTTTTCTGCTTGGGGGTGCTGGCTCGGTTTTCCTTGCCATCGCTCTCCTGGATAACATGGTGAAACCTTGTCTCTACTAAAAATACAAAAACTAGTCAGGCATAGTGATGCGTGCCTGTAGTCCCAGCTAACTTGGGAGGCTGAGGCAGGGGAATTGCTAAAACCTGGGAGGTGGAGGTTGGAGTGAGCCGAGATTACACCACTGCACTGCAGCCTGGGTTACACGGTGGGTGAGACTCCATCTCAAAACAAAACAAAAACAAACAAAAAACCCAAAACCCTTAATGCCTAATTATTTTTTTATTTTTTAAAATATTTTTGTATTTTTAGTAGAGACAGGGTTTCAGCCTGTTGGCTAGGCTGGTCTCGAACTCCTAACCTCAGGTGATCCACCCGTCTCTGCCTCCCAAAGTGTTAGAATTACAGGCGTGAGCCACCGCACCTGGCTAATAATGCCTAATTATTAAACCTAACAGCAACTACCAAGACCAGCTTGGCCGTAGAGACCCTCACCCAGGTGGCGCTAAAGGCATTAAGAAGCAGATGTTGTATTTGACCGGAGCGTAGAAAGTTATCACAAGACAAAAGTATGCCAGATTGCAGGGTCATTTATTATGCCGGCGACCACAGAGGACTCACGTCTCTTCAACCTGTGGTGGCAAAAGGGGGGTGCCACGATTTTTTATACCCGAAAAACCACCTTGGGAGTGGGGGTGAGGGGCGGGGATGGGGATGAAAAGGCTTCAGACATTCCGAGGGCTAGTGGATTCTGTAAATTACCTCCTGGGCAAAGATGAGGGTGGGGGTCTCCGGACATTCCAAGGGCCAGGGGACTTTTGTCATTCCGTTTGTTACTTAAGTGGTTTACAGAAGTCAAGATAAACATTTGTTTACACATTATCTGGTTAAGGTGGAAATCACAGACCTTAGTTACTTATTACAAGTCACAGGAGCCAGGATGGAACTAGCTTGGGCTGATTAGTCTGGCAATTGCCGGTAAGCAAAGGCTAGCAATTCTGGCAGTTACTGATAAGAAAAGGTAAGCAGCTTTACATAGTGGCTAGTTTGCAAAGCAAACTAGCAGTTTTATTTACAGTAGCCAAGGCTAGCAGTTATTGTGAGGAGAATGGGGCAGCCATTTTAACTTATCTAAAAACAGTTTTGCATTTTATAAAATAGTTTTGCTCTGGTTCTGGCTCTAGGCCAGCACAATATCACACAGACACCCAGACAGAACAGCAAAATGGGACTGTCTGGGGGGCCAACAGACTTCCGAGCTGAGAGTGGCTGTCAGCAGGCTGATAGAATTCCAGGCTGAGGGCCTTGAGCAGACTCTGACCCACGTATTCTCCCTGAACAGGTGATTATTATTAACAAACAGGTGTTTGGTATTTTCTCATAAATAAAAATAAACTAGGCAGCTGGTGCCTGCTTATCACTGTCCACAGACAAACTTTAAAATATTCTCCATGAGGGAACCATGGGGGCAGGGTCACATATCCTACACTTAAAGAATTGTTTTAACTGGTGTATGATATTCATATACTGTCTTGCCACTTGAGAATGCCGCAAGCAGTTTTCAACTTGCTGGGAGGTGGCTAAGTTTTCTTTGCCATCATTCTTCTTAGCAAACAATATGTTTTATCATACACTCAGCATTTCTCAACAAGCAACAAGAAATAGGTTTTGTAACCTAATTACCAAATCATAAATCGAATAACAAATTGGGATTCCGACATTCCTGTCGTTTCTACTGATGGCGGGTGTTACCAAGAACTTTGTCGAAGAAAGAAAGAAAACCTGAAATGGCATTTGGAAGGGCTTTTTTGGAGGGGTTGTGGATGAGCAGGACGTTGATCAGGGATAGAATTTCTGGGGGCAGATGGGGACATGTTTGATAAGGACAGGGATGGGGTTTGTCCTGCTCCTTTCTCTCTTCCTAGGGCTTAGCCAATGCTTGGTAGGAAGAAGACAATCAACAAACACTTCCAAAAAGAGATCTCTGGGTGAATGAGTAAAGAAGAAACAGCGCCAGACATATTTGAGGGTTACTGAAGTCAATCTGGTGGAAACAGACTTCCTGAAGACAACTGAGGGGTGGGGTAGGTGGGGGCGATCAATGCAATGTAGGGAGGTTGGAATCAGCTTCTGGGAGCTTCAGTCCAATGGCTGTGTCCGGTTGAGATAAGAATAGCACTGGGTGGTTGCAGATGGAAAACCCAAGCAACAGCTGAAACAAGAATTAGGCAAGGAAACCACAGGATAACAGAACATCCCAAATAATGAAGAGAAAATGGCCAAAACCCTGATCAGGGTAACATGTCCATGACTCTTCTGGGCAAAGCCAAATAAGGGAGAAAGGGGACAGTAATGGGGGTGGTGGGCAGTGTCCCTGCAATCCCCTCCTTTCCCACAATACCTAATGATTATTTCTCTTTAAGGCAGGGTCTCACTCTGTCACCCAGGCTAGAGTGCAATGTGCGATCGTGGCTCATTGCAGCCTTGAACTCCTGGGTTCAAGCAATCCTCCTGCCTCAACCTCCCAAGTAGCTAGGACTAT